GTGTCTTTGTCACTGCATGAGCGAGAACTTAGTTTTTGCTGACAGCACACTCCATATGCATCAGCCTGGGGGCACAGGTGCCAGGAGAACTGATGTGGTCTCAGGATCCAAGGATAGATGTGAGGGGAGGTGACTGGGTTTCTTGGGGATCGTAGCAGGGTACCCCTCCAGGTCCAGTGAATGGCTCCCACCTATGGGTTCTTCGCTTCTGGAAAATTGTATTTTATTTCTTTTGTAATTTTCTCCTTTCTATGTTTTTGTTCTGTCTTTCTAGAATTCGTATATAGTTAGATTTTTTTTTTTTTTTACCATCCGGGTTGATCTGATTTTCTTTCTTTTTTTTTTGAGTCGGAGTCTCACTCTGTCACCCAGGCTGGAGTGCAGTGGCACACTCACTGCCACCGCAGCCTCTACCTGCTGGGCTCAGGCAATCCTTCTGCTTCAGCCTTCCAAGTAGCTGGGAACTACTTTGGGAGGCAGAGGCGAGAGGATTGCCTGAGACTACGGGTTCGAGACCAGCCTGGGCAACATGGCAAGACCTTGTCTCTACAATAAATCAAAAAAATTAGCTGGGCGTGGTAGTGTGTGCCTGTAGTTCCAGCTACTTGGAAGGCTGAGGCAGAAGGATTGCCAGAGTCCAGCAGGTAGAGGCCATGTCACTGCACTACAGCTTGGGCAACAGAGTGAGACTCTGACTCAAAAAAAAAAAAGGAAGAAACTTTTTTGGAAAAAGGGGGTCTCACTGTGGTTCCTAGACTGGTCTTGAGCTCCTGACCTCAAGTGATCCTCCTGCATCGGCCTACCAAAGTACTGGAATTACAGACATGAGCCATTGTACCCAGTCTTGTATTGGGTTTTTTCATTTTACTATTTATAATTTTGATTTCTGAGTTACTCTTCATACCCAGAATGTTTAGTTTTTAAACAAGTGCTATATTGTTTCTTGGATGTAAGCTCTCATCTTTAGGTTTTCTTCTCCCTCAATTGCTTGAGTTTCTGTTTTCTGTTTGTTGGTGTGATCTCTTTCTTGCTAGAGAGCCTTCCTCAAATATGTGACACTCCTTGGCTATTCTTATTTGGGTACCAAGATCTGACTGGAAACTCTGTCTTTACTGCCAGGACATCAGTGCCAGAGACATTCTGCTGGGAATGAGATGTTTTGCAGGAGGACCTCTGAATTGAGGATCTGAAAGTTTCCTTCCCTACCACAACACCATGTTCTCAAGGTCATTGTTTTTCTAGAAAAGACCCTTCCAGTCCTCCGCCAGCATTCTTAGGGTCATGTGAGGATGAGGGCTTGGTTCTCTCCGTTCTGCGATACTCGCTCTTGCTGCAGGACTCCTGCTTTGACTTCTGTTCTGCCAAGTGTCCCCAAGCCTGGTAACTCAGACTCCTGCTGGGATGGGAGAAGGTAAAATATGTCTGCTGTGGGGGGGATCTAGGTGACTTTAGCAGTTCCTTCTGCAGGCCATGAACCAGTCTCCTGTCTTCCGCTCTCAGCCACGTGCCCACCCTATGAGGTATGCACAACTGACCAACCAACTTCCGTTCTGTGCTTTTCCTTGGCTTCTTGACTCTAATTGGCTTTTGTCTCAACTACCATGTAGGCTTTCCGCTGCTTCTAATCTAATCTGATCTTATTGGCTCTGATCTACTAATGCTTCCTTTTACTTCCATCTTCCAGTTGCCAAGTCTTAACTGCGGTTGGCTTTTCTCCTTTTCTCTTTGTTCTTGGAAATGTATTTATTTTATTTTATTTATTTATTTATTTATTTATTTTTTGAGTTGGAGTCTCACTCTGTCACCCAGACTGGAGTGCAGTGGCCGCTCCCAGCCACCGCAGCTTCGACCTGCTGGGCTCCGGTGATCCTTCCGCCTCAGCCTTCCAAGTAGCTGAAACTACAGCCACTTGCTACCATGCCCGGCTAGGAAATGTATATCTTTTTAAAAATTGCTTTATTTTTATTTTAGTGGGCTTTGGGGAGGGAGGCAGAGCTTCATCTCCCTTATTTAACCGAAAGTTTATTTTTTCATATAGCCTTTATACATTATTTTGTTTTATTTATTTATTTATTTTTTGAGTTGGAGTCTCACTCTGTCACCCAGACTGGAGTGCAGTGGCCGGGAGGCCACTGCAGCCTCGACCTGCTGGGCTTCGGTGATCCTTCCGCCTCAGCCTTCCG